ACATTTCTGAAAACAATAGAGCAAGAAAACGACATTACTTGACAACAATACCATAGGCTCATTTCTACCATAGTTAAAAATAAAATAAAAATATCGCTATCGTTTACATTCAACTGATATGCACGTAAAAGAAACCATTTTATAAGCATCTTCAATAACTAATCCTACTGCCAATTAACTACATATTCAAAAGCCGCATGAAATGCTAGCAATTTAATAATTATTTAAAATTAATTATTCGAGGTTTATATTTTTATTTTATACATAAGTTAAGTGATTGAACTTTTGAATGTATATACAGGGTGCGTAGCCAAATTATTCAACAAAAAATAAGCACTTTTCAAGCACTCAAAAAATATTTTTAAGCACTTTAAAAAAAAAAAAAATTATAATTAGGTAAGGTTGGAAAGTATGACAATTGGCGGCTTTATCTTGTTTTAACCATCATGTCGAAAAAATTTTTTTAAAAACTTTTGCCATTGTTTTGACAATTGTCAAAAATCATGAGTCTCATATTTTGAATCATGTAAAACGAACATCGTTTTGATATGCTACAGACTGACAATACGCCGAAATAGATTGATTGGGTTTGAATTAATTGTGAAAACGTTGAATCAAACAATGTGAACTGTGTCTTTTTGCATAACTCGTAGCGATAATCAACATGGTAAAGGAAAAATATCATTTTGAAAAAAAAGGAAAATTAAGCACTTTTTAAAAACACTCAATGAAAAAATCACCTTTAAGGGTTTTTAAAAAATGAAAATCGAAAATAAGCACCTTTAAGCACTTTTTAAAAACACTATGCACCCTGATATAAATCCAAATTTGTGCATTTGTTTCATTATTGTAATTTCAACAACTCAGACTTACAAAAAAAAAAAAAATGTTATTTAAGTATGAATTCAATAATCAGTCTACAAATGAATTTTTAGTAAGGTGGAAAAGTTGAACGATGAAAGCACAACTTTTTCCTTTTAGACAGCAGCACTCTTTTCAAAATAATTGGCGTCACCTGATGTAATATAGGCTTAAAAGAAAGTAAATATTCTAGGTTATACGAGAATATATTAAAAGGTAATTTTAACAAAAAGTGATTAATTTCAATAAAACATTGACAACTGAAAAGATTTTTCTCATAATTATTCAATTTAAACATATATTTTTTTTATTTACAACAACCGAATATATTTTCTAAAAATTGTTTAATTTAAACATATATTTATATTTTAAAAAAATAGAAAATATTTACAATAATTTTAACTTAACATATTATAATATTCCAAAAATTCTTGCTATCAGCTGATATACATGAATACATATAAAAATACATGATAGAATTTTTTATTTTAAAAGTTATCCATTACAATAGATATTTTCATTAATTCTAGCTCGTAATAGTGGTTACAAATTTAGTTTTAACTTAGAAATAACAAAATGTGCACAGAGGAAAAATAAGTTTAAAAAATGGGTGACCGCTTCTGCATCATCAGTGCTGAAACATAGAATGAAAGGGGAAAAGAAAGCAAATTGATACAGTCAAGTTCCACATTGTTTGACTTTAAATCATTCAATGCATCTATTTACAATAATTTTCATTTGACATATTTTCCAAACATACGCTCGTTATTAAAATGTATTAAAATAGTAATAGTCAATTACATAGTTCTTATAAATTTTTAAAGTATTTTCTAGTTTTTGAGATAACCAATTGGTTTTTCGCAATTAGACACTGACAAATCTAATCTAACAATACAAACATTAAAATAATTTAAGTTCACTATTTCTATTTTGAACTTGAGTAATAAAAGATCAAATTAAGTTAAATTTGAGGTTGTTTCAAATTTGCAATAATTTTCACTTGTCATATTATAATGTTTCAAAAACATAGAGATCAAAATATCTAGTAATCTAATACAAAATTGTATAAAACCATACCAGTAAATTTATAAAAATCAATTTTAGTACTTACTAAATTATGTATTTATTTAGTAACAAAATCTTCTCATGTCTATTACACACAACTCTATATAAGTGCACACAATAAAAATATGTTTTATGACAATAAATACTCCAAAATAAACCATTTCTTCACAACAAGAACGAATAAAATTTTCAAACAAGAAAAATATGATTGATGAATATTGCACTTTTTGAAAAGAAATTTTGCAAGGTTATGATCATAGAGGCAACTCTGATTTCTATATCATGGTGCTGCAGTAATCAATGTTTATTGAAAGATAACATCAAAAGAAATAGTAATTTAAATAGTTTTCTCAAGACTTTTGTTATTGATAGACTCGTTATCAATGGGAAAATGTTAGCTTTGAAAGTACAAAATTGTTTAGCATCTGTGTATATGAAAAAAATTTCAATCGCTATATTGGAACAAAATGTTCAGTTCAGATAAATTTTGTTTCAATAGGCATTAAAATAACATTGCCCCTATGGAATCACAAATGGGATTCCATGTAGTGGTTGTTATAACAGAAATGTTGCTCTAATTGGGGAAGGATCGTTTTAAAGAGCATAGACTGTATAATAATCTAGTTAAATTTTACATGAACTCATTTGATATTAATTTCGTGACAAAATCTTTTTATGTCTTTGTTTCTAAATTATGAAATTGCACACGTTTACACTGAAATTATATTTTGTAAGACAGTCAACATTTAGATTTGCTATTAAAGAAAGGACAGATATATTATTATTATTACAAATTACTTAAAAGCTAACATTTTTGGTTTCATATCTAAAAAGAAAATCTAAAAGATAGTAAATAAAATCTAAGAAATTCATTAATAGAGAGATGCTATTAAATGTTTATTTCTTTTTGTTATATTGTCTTTTGTTTTGTATCGCTACACTACATATTTTTAAACAAAAAAAAAACATTATATTATCAACATTAAATTTGTTGCCAATATAAGAGGATATCAATATGAAAATGCAAAATATGAAGGTTGCCTTCAATTTTCTGAAAGAAATAACAACATTAATTTGTGAAATAGAACAAATACCAACATCATTCGACAGCTAATTTACAAATTTAAAAATCATTCTATTATGTCTTTAAGAATCACTTTGGAACAAAAGGTTGAGAAAAAAATAACTAAATTTGACAATTTTCTGTGATTTTTTTATTTATTTTTTTGTAGCCGCAAGATTTAGAAAGTGTAAGCATATACAAATTGCAAAACATGATGACAAGTCATTAACATAGCATTTAAATAAATTTTGAATTAAAATTTATACTAAAGTATGTTATTTCAAATACATTTGCTTGAAATCAAATAAAAGATATCTCATCTCCATAAAAGTGGATTGAAATATGATAGGCAAAGATTGCATTAATTGCCCTAACATTATTTTATTAACTTTACTAATACAAATTTTGCATTAAAAAATATAAAACAAATTGCCAATAAATTATTTTAAAATAATTCACAAGAAAAAAATAATTAATTTTGTTATTAGTATCCTGTGTAAAATCATCAATGCTTATATTGAATATTGTCATTGAATATTATTAGAAAATATAAATTACTTTGCAAACATTAATTTGTCATTAAATAAAAACTTACTGAAAATTACCGATATTGAAAACTTCTCTCAAAAATCATGACTTTTTTTTGTGTGGATATTATTTGTTTAAGAAATTTAGCTGTTTATTTATTCCAAAGCTTTTAAACCAGTATCAATAGCAAACATGTTTAAAGATTCCAGTGCATCTTTATAAGTAAAATGTAATAAATCTTTTCTGATCCACTTGGATAAACTGTTCTGATAGCGAATGCATTTTTGAAAGCGCTCGTCAATTAATATGAGAGCACCAAAATCGTCTCGATGGCGAATGCGCCGTCCGAGGGCTTGATTTATAGCTCTAAAGGCCTGAATTTCGTACCATTCTTGACCAGATAAAATATTCCTCTGAGATGAATATTTATCATTATATTTTTTCTTTAGATCAACTTGAGAATCTTTAAAACTGGGAAATGGGATTCCAACAGTTATGACAGCTCTAGCATTTTCATCCGCAAAGTCAAATCCTTCACTAACTTTTCCTCGACAAACAGCAAAAAATAAAGCCCCATTACCCGTGCCATTTTTGCTAGAACTTATAGCACCATAGAATTCGTCCATAACGGTCTGAAAATATTGAATTTTACGAGGTTCGCATAATACTTCTTTCTTTCCTGATAATTTTTCCAATAGGCCAGTTTGTTCCCATCTGTCAATTAATTTGTCCATCAGGTTATAAGATGGCAAAAAACATAAAACACCATGAGGTATAATGGAACATATTTGCAGTATTAAAGACCCAACATCATCTTGAAATGTAAATGTTCCAGTATTCTGAAATGTAGCATTAAGGGACACATTGTTTGGCCCTTTACCAATAGTGCCAATCCAAAGCTGAGATTTTTTAACAACATGATTAGCTTCTAAAGTAGTATGGAAAGTTGTGCCAAGTTCTGACTCAAAGGACGCCATGGGTGATAAAGTGCCAGAAGCAACAATTAAAGAGTGGATACAATCCTTAATGTCTGAAAATGCAACACCTGGATTTAGGCACCAAAAGTTTAAGGTCAGTTCTAAGTCATTTGCTGGAACAACTAAGTGTCTATTACCTCTAAGCCTTTGACCAACACGCCTGGTTTTCAAAACGACAAGACGATAATCTGGGACATACACCATATTGGCTTTATACAAAAAGTTAAGAATTTCCCTTAATTTTTTCATAACAGCTAATGCAGCTGAAGACAATTTGGGCTGGTCTAAATCTATAATTTCTGCTGCTTCTTTATCTTTTTCAAGAAAGAGAACACTTTCAAATTTTTGATCAAATTCTTTGAATGTTTCAGGTCCAATTCTTACATGAGATAATACAGCAAGCATATCATCACCTTCATATACTTTAGCGGAAGATTCAAAGGTCTGATAATCTGTCAAATTACTTGAATGGTTTTTTAACCAATTGGCCATACTTTTAAAAATGTCACTAAAATATAAATATGACTGTCCATCCGATTTTGAGTATCGTCCAACCTTTTCTAAATTAACACCACTCTCTTCTAAATTCACAACATCAAAACTACTACTTGCAGCCGAACGTGCGTTATCTTCGATATTATGAGCCTCATCCATAATTATTATGCTTCCTTTTAGGCTAATTGACACAGCAGAACGTATAAGAGGATCAACGAGGTAATTATAAGGACAAAATACTATGTCTGATGCAGATATTAGCTCTCGTGA